CACTCAACTCACATAGGTTCTGTTTGGTTGCTAGGTTACAACTTAGCTTCTTATCTACTTATCTACTTCACACAGTGTCACAGCAATGTTCAGTTTGGTTTCAGAGTTTACAGAGTTAATATTCATCTTTAATTTCTGATTTCTAAATTCCTAATAAATTCCTAATACATTCAGTACAGAAATGTTTTTAATACATGTTTAGATTAAGGAGGAAAGACCTTATGTAATCTTAGAAAAAGGAAGGTATGTTTGTTTATGCAAATGACCACAGTTACATTAATTAAGGATGGAACCCTTAACTCAGAGTTCCTAGTTGGTCTAGAGAAGCATTGGTGGTAGTAACCTGCATGGCTTTCCCTGTATAGCTGATGTGTGTTGAGAGCATTACAGATGCTCTGTGAACTTAATCATGTTAGGGTTCGAGAATCGAGAATAATTCCCACAGATACCAAAAAGATCATACAAAAAGTTTATTCAGGAATTTAAAGTAAAAACAACCAAACGGCAGCTGCCGGGCACAGACTGCATGAGCCAAAGATGGAGTTTGGCCCTGAACAATAGCAGGCAGGAGCTTTTATTGGGGAACTCCACAGAAACCCCCACGCCCATGCACCGAGCATCTTTTTAAAATAATTGGATGTCCCCATATCCTGAGTACGGGGGATGTCCTGATTGGTAGGGGCTGTCTTCAGGCCATTGGAATGTGCTGACTGATATCTTTTAGAGCCAGAAGTTTTTGTTCATACCTTATAAGGCTTTTACATGTCCAGGGCTTGCTTAATTTATAGCTGGGTGGGGGGGAGTAGCAACTGGGAAGTGTTACAATATGCCTGAGTTTGTCCTGGCTTGTCTGAAGAAGCTAGCCAAAATGGAGTCAGAGCATTCTGGCTCTTCAAATCAGTCCTGCAACTAGCTGGTCAGAGCTCTCAAATTAGCCTTCTTCTATGCTTCAGAAAGACTATTCAATAAAGCTTGTTCTTTGAAACACACACAAACACAGACACACAGACACACAGACACACACACCCAGACCCAAAGAAGATAACATCACCTACCTAGAAGTGTTTGATGACAGTTAAAATGGTCAGCACAGATGCAGATTTTAGAAAAGTCCATGACATAGAATAGGAGCACTATAAACCACTACTAATTTCTCATGATACTAATTTTTTTAAAGGCAGTTGGAGATGTAGCTCTGTAGGTAGACTGCTTTCTCAGCATGTGTGAAGTCCTGGATGTAATCTCCAGCCTCACATGAACTGGCCAGAGTGGTGCATATCTATAATCCTAGTTCCTGGAAGTAGAGGCAGGAGGGAGAGAAGTTCTAGGTATTCTCTTCTACATAATGAGTTACAGGAAACTCTGTCTCAGAAAGAAAATAATAAACAAACAAATCCAAATGGATATACGAAAACCAACCAGGAAATTAGTAGCAACAGTGTAGAAAAAGCAGTTTAGAAAGTTTGATTCTTTGGGAAAATTATCAGACAGATTCATCTTTCACACATCAGATATTGTCGTTATCCAATTACAAGCTGTGGAATAGGTCATAAACTTGCCTTTATTGAAAATAAATACTACAGGAGCATTACAAAACAGAGGAATGGGTTTGCTAGGCAAGCACTCTATCAACTGAGCTACAGCCCCACTCACTCCCTGAAGTGAGAATGTTAAAGAGTATAGTCACAACCTATGATGGATAATATTGACAGCCAACTTGACAGGATCTAAAAGTTGCTGAAGAGACAAACCTCTGGAACCTGTCTATGAAAGACTGTCTGTAGATTAGGTTAATTAAGGTAGGAAGACATGCCTTAACTGTGGATGGTATCATTCCATGGGCTGGCCGCTTGGACTGGATAAAAAGGAGAGGGCTAGCTGAGCACAAGCATTCATTGCTCTCTACTTCTTGACTTCAGACTCAATGTGACCAGCCACCTCACGTTCCTATCACCATGTCTTCTCTACTATGATCAATTATATCTCTCAAACTGTAAGCTGAAATAAACCCTCTTCCCTTAAGGTGCTTTTGTCTGGTATTTTGTCTTAGCAATGAGAAGTTATAGGAATACAACACCTAGCTCATTCTTTTTTCATTCATTTAAAAAATATTTCCTTATTTTTATTTTATGTATATGAGTGTATTGCCTGCATGTGTGTATGTGCACCCATGTCATGCAAAACCCACAGAGGTCAGAAGAAGGCATCAGATCCCCTGTAACAGGAATTATGGATGATTGTTAGCTGTCATGTGGGTACTGGGAACTGAACACAGGTCATCTGCAAGAGCAGTCAGTGTTCCTAATCATGGAGCCATCTCTCCAGTCCCTCATTATTTTTTTTCTTTTAGACTGTATGTATTTTTATCAAAGAAAATATGTTAATGGAGGGGATTTGAGACAGGGTCTCCCCATAGCCCCATATGGCCTGAAATTCTCTATGTAGACCAGGTTGGCTTTGACCTCATAGAGATCTGCCTGCCTCTGCCTCTTGAGTGCTGGAATTAAAGGTATGCACAACCACGCCAGGCCTAAATCTTTTTTTTTTCTAATGAAGTAAATCTTATTATTACCCTAAATCTTTTTTTTTAAATGAAGTAAATCTTATTATTACTCTGCAGAACAAAAGAGATAGAAAGAGACTTTAAAGTTTCTTAGAAGTATAAGCCAAGAATAGATTGGTAAATTCATGAAACTAGACACACATAAGCAAAGCTCTCATAAACATTCTGAGCTTGATTAATAGTCACAACAGCTTCTTTATAAGAGCTCCCAGCAATAAGGTATGCTCAGTGGTGCAACAGTGGCACAAAGGTTTTGGGAGTAACCAAATCTGATTGGATTTAAGATTTGCTTCACAAGATGGAGTCCATCCTTGACACTGTTATCAGTGCCAAGAACCTGTGGTTAGATAGATCTTTGGCCATAGGGGAGAACCTATTACTATTATCCTGATAAACAGACATACTATTAAAGTGACTCCTAATGATTTGCTATTATATAGATTGGTGCATATTTCAACTCTCATCAGAGAAGGTTCTTCTAGTGGCAGCTGGTGATTAGCACAGAGACCCACAACAAGCAGAGGATAAGAGACTGTGGAGTCTTCAACCCTAAATGGGACACCTATATCATAGCTTTTCCTCCTAAGGCTCAGGGATCATTGTGAAGGAGGGGGCAGAAAGATTGTAAGAGCCAGAGTTGGTGGATGAACACAAGGAAATCATGTTGTCTGGACACCACAGCATAGATTCACATATGAACTCACAGAGCTTGTGACAGCATGCAAAAGACCTGTGCACACCCAAGGCAGACAAAAGTCCATCATGGATGGGGGAGGTGGGCAAGAACCCCCAGCCCTAAGTGAGGATCTATTGTCAGTTGATAACTGCTGGGAGAGAGTCAGTTTTCTTTACTGCTATGTCACCTGGTAGGGTGACCAGACTCCAAGGGATAGACCCACACCCAAGAGCATTTGGGGAACACAGATTAGGCTTCATAAGTATTTTTTTTTTTAAAGAAGAGAGATAATAATAGAGGACATGGAGTAGGGAGTAGTTAAGGTGGGAGTGGAGATGAGGGAGGGTTTCTGAATATGATCAAAATACATTGTATTTTTAAAATATTTCTTTAATTATTTTTTATTATTTTTATTTTTTGTGTATACATGTATCGCTTCCATGCACGTAAGTGCACCCATGTCATGCAATGCCTGCAGAGGTCAGAAGAGGGCATTGGATCCCCTGAAACTGGATTTAACCACCATGTGGGTACTGAGAATTGAGCCTGGGTTCACTGTAAGAGCAGCCAGTGCTCTTAACTACTGAGCCATCTCTCCAGCTCCCCAAAATATATTATATTTCTAATCTTCAACTTTGTACTATTCTGGAAACTACTTTGACAAAAAAAATGTGGCAGAAGGAACACTGCATATATGTCATGAGTACAGTCACTAGGGTGCTACTGCCTCATAACTTTGTAAGTCCAAGTCAGTCTCCCAGGAGATGAGAGAAGACCCTTAGGAGGAGGAGTCCCAGACTCTCCTGAAATCCTAGTCCAACCAACTGAAGCCAAACAACCATGTGGACCAGAAGCAAGCTTACCAATTAATTCTACCCAAATCTTCAGCCCATAAAAACTCAAGTAAATAGTTGCTCTTACAGTAAGTTGACTTCTTACACAGGAATTGCTAAGTGATTAATCACAATTTCCCAATAGGGGTCTTCTTCTTCACTCACTCAACTTTTGTAGCTGAAGAATAAATCTAAGCAAGAATAATAGACCTTTCTTTACTTTGTGATTCATAAAGGATTGCTGAATTCTATAATATTGCACTGTCATATTGCCCAATGTGCACAAGGAGTAGATTCAGGAGACTTTGTACTGTAATCTGGTGCCACCAAATTATGAGATCTGCATTTATTATCAATGTTGAAGTAAATCATTTAACAATGCTTTATTATAGGTGATAGAATGTGTGAAGAGCCACGAGCCTAATTAGAAAAGCACTATAACCATAAATCCCTTAAAGTGGCTAACTGGCCCTAAACTGGCAGGTTCACCTTGCTCAAGCTTTATCAACTGGTCTCTCCCTGGACTAAGGGAGACTGTTTACTGAGCCAACCTGCCCTTCAGTGCTTTAAGATAGCTCACCTGCCTGAGAAATAATCTTGGGAGGAAGACTCTCAATCAAGGACACCAGATCCTGGCACCGAGTAAAATCCTGCAGATGTGTGCAGCAGAATTCCTGTGAAAGAGGAAACTGCCCCTCCCTTTGATACAGATGCCTTC